AGTTTTTCCGAAATTAAACCGAATTAGGGTTAAATCACTTTATAAGAAAGTGATTAGAACCTTAATTAGAGAGAGACTTTGAGCAGCCGACTTTTGGCAGAAAAGAGAGGGTTTTTGGAGATCCAAAAACGAGTTCTAAGTCTTGAGATTTCTCGGTGCACATATCGAATAGAGATTCGAGTCCTAGCAGACAAGTTCCAACCGTTGGAATCCATCCCGAGGTGTGGATACGTGTAGAGGGCGAGGTAAACTTCCTGCCTTTCGTGATCAAACGACTTCTTCAGTTGATACAGGCCCCGGATCGATTGAGGTAAGCGTTCTAACGTTTCTACGAATTCAATAGCAGCATGGTTCTAGGGTTCTATAAATTTTTGTTTTACTTCCGCTGCACAAACCCTAGAATCGATCTCTTAGGAATTAGATTCGCTCATGAGATCCCAGGAAAACCCAACAATATGTGAAGGGAACATTGGAGTTTGGGTTGCACTATACACGGGATTCAAGCTGTGAACTGGTGGGGTTTTGTGATGTTGACTGGGGAGGTCATGTTGATGATCGGCGAAGTACTTCTGGAGGTTGTTTCTTCCTTGGAAACAACATGGTAGCGTGGCACAGCAAGAAGCAGAACTCTACATAACTGTCCACAGCTGAAGCAGAGTACATTGCCTTGGGAAGTTGATGTACTCAACTCTTGTGGATGCGGCAGATGCTCTTCGATTACGGTATCAACTTATCCTCTTTTACTGCTCACTGTGACAATACGAGTGCTATCAATATTTCTAAGAATCCTGTGCAGCACTCGCGAACTAAACACATTGAAATTCGTCATCACTTTTTGAGGGAGCAAGTTGAATAGAAAATCTTGATGATTGAGTATGTTCTTACTGAGAAACAATTGGCTGACATATTCACTAAACCCCTTGTTATGAACAGGTTTGTTGGTTTGCAAAAATCCCTTGGTGTTGGGAAACTTTAAAAATGTATTTCACATTTTTCTTACGAAGAATATGCAGGGAAAGGTACAGGTCAGGAGATAAGCGAGTCAAGGAGATGTGGCTGAAGGTCAAAAGCACTTCACTATGTCTCAGGTACATTTCACTAGTATAGGGGCTAAATTATAAGTTCTGTTACTCCTCTGTCGTGCATAGATATAAACATGTCATACAAGATTAATTGGTGCGAAATAGACATGACATGAGTAAACTAGTAAAGTACTCGCGTCTAAGTTGTGAGACAGATTTCCATACGATGGTCTAAGGGCAAACAATAATAATAATAAAAAAAACAAAAAAAAAGGAAGAAGTACAAGTGTTCGAGATTGAAACTACTCCGCTGTGGATGACTGAAAAGTATATCTACATGAGTATATCTCAGGAAGAGATAGTCTGGATCTAAATGGTGGGAAACATCTGTTGATACAACGTCCTAGAAGTTCAGAACTTGCATACTGCAAAGTGTGCCTAATTGAACCTGTATACAAAATGAAAAGCACCTGAGATTGTGTGAGGTGCAACTGACTAGAAGATTCACTCTCTAGACTTGATTGTCTCCACGACAGGTATTCTTGACTTAATTATTCAACTTCATATTTCGCTGATGATTTATCCGATGTTTTCAAGATGTTCAACTGCAACCTGGAATTATCGAGGGGATTTGGGGATGTGAATATGCTAAATTGTTTTTGAGCGGGAATTGAAAAATAATCAAAATTTCTAATTATTTTGAATTTTGCATCATTTATTGAGCGGTTTATGGACATGCCCTAATTTCTCGCACACTTACCTCACACCCTGTCAAGTTTTGTTCTTTCTCTCTCTAGTGGTTCGATTTCGACAGTTCTTCCTCTAAATTCATTCACTACCATGACGAACAAGAAATCGGGGAAGACATACAGACAAGGGGAACGTCGCTCAGCTCGAAACACGGCCAAAACTTCAAGCGAACCAGGTAAATCTCAACTTCCTGAGATTGTCGAGGAATCTGAGCAAGTGGATACAGGTGAGACACATATGAGCAAGGTGAATGAGAAAGGGAATCCTGGAGAAGAAGAGAAATCAGATTCTGATGTGGCTCCACTTCAGAGAACAAAGAAAAATTCAAAATCTGGAAAAGATTCAGGAGTTTCGTCACAATCAACACAACATGTCGTGTCCGATTTACCTAAAGACAACGACAGTCAAGACCTCGCTGAGAAGAACTTGGGTGAAGACGAAGTGCAAACAAAGACAGCCCCGAGAAAGGACTTAACTGAAGAACCAACGCAAATCACATCTGAAATGGTGAATTCAAAAGACTGTGAGAATCCAAAGGAGTTACGGTCGACGAAATTGTCTGTGAAGATGTCCAGGAGAGAGAAGGTGGGAGTGAACGAACGATTACTGAAGCACTGGAAGAAATACCCAGGGTATCGGAGAAGGAAGATGAAACTGAAATGCAATCGCGTGCACCTGAGGTACCTCTAACTCACCCGGTGCGTTCTGATGACTCTGATCGACCCCTGATTGTTTTGCAACAGAAAGCTAAGGCAAGAAATGTCACTCGGAAGCGCAAAGGCAATTCAGCACATGGAAGAAGCGCTCAGAAAAGGAAGACAGCTCGGAAAGGAAAAGGAACGGGTGATGAAGGTCCTTCAGAACCATCTGTCACACCCAGTGAAACAGGTGTGAAACCTCTTTCTGATAGATTCTTATCTGTAGAAACTAAGAAGAGGTTTGACAAGTTTAAAGGAGTAGATGTAATTGCTGAACGCAATGTCAATGTGATGGATTTTCGGAAAAATCGCATTTGGACTCTGTTTGAAGAAAGGCAACTGCCGGGGACGATGACCTATGCATGTGCACTTAGTAAAATGCTTGTCAGAGAGTTTTATGCGAATCTCACTCAACGTACTGACATCCTTGGAGACTTCTTGCATCACAATGCCTATGTGAGAGGTAGATTTATTGAGTTTTCTCCAACAGTTATCAATCGGTTGCTGGGAACACCTGATAATGCCTTACAAGGATTGGAAGATTTACCTGAAGGAACTTCACTTGAAGATTTGGAGGTAGCACTCACTGGAGAGTATCTGGCAGAAAGGAATGGGAAGATTCTCATAACATGTCTCAAGTTTGAAAGTCGAGTTATGCAACTGATTGGAAAGACCAATTGGTTACCGACTCGAAGATCTGATGTGATTCAAGATGAGTTAGCACTACTGATATTCAAGCTGTTGAGGAAAGAAGATGTAAATCTTGGTCGCATCATATACAATCACATACTATCTCGAGCTGCTGACATGAGAATGCGTTATTTGCTGCCTCACCCTTGCCTCATCCAGAGCATCATTGTCCGACAAAGTCCAGAGATTCTTGCTGATTCGGAGATCACTGAAATAATTCAGCGTCCATTGGTCATTGAATCCAAAGTACAACAGGCTAGGATGAGTCGGACACAACTCTGTAGCAAGGCGTTTACTATCCTCATGAAACATGACAAGCAGTTACTTCAAGTGGAACAACTACAGAGGAAGAACACTAAAATCATAGCCCAAATTCGTGCTCGTCAACACGCTCTGTAGGAGGAGTTTCAGAGTAATTGTCAGATAGTATTCCTCACCCAGATATGGTTTCTGAATATTTCATATCTAATGTTTTGAATTTCTGCTTACCCACACAGGGGGAGAAAGTGAAGGTGGAGCACCCTCAACAAGTGCAAAAGACAAAGGCAAAGGAATAATGGGTGAGGATGACATGTCAGATGAAGCTGAAAAGGAGGAGGAAGGAGAATCAGAAGGAACAGAGTGAATGAAACTTCCAACTTCGAGAAGTTGTTCTGTGTCGGTGTCTGCCTAATTATCAGCAACTTATCTTATGTGGTTGTCTTTATGTCTAATCTGCTGTGTTGATTCGTGTTGTTTTCTTGCTAGTTCTTGCTTTTCCATGACTTGTTGAACTTAAAGGATAGCTATATCCTAGTTGCTATGAATTGCGTTTGTGTTCTGTGAGTTTGAGTGTGTCTAAGCAGAAAGTCAAAAAGGGGGAGATTGTTAAAGCAAGGAAATAGCATATTCAGCATCTAGAAGGTTCAAATCAACAAATGGAAGTCTGGAGCTGAATCTGGAAAGCACAAAAGGAAAGAAGCAACAAAAGGAAAGAAGACACTTATATCAATGAAGAAAAAGGAAAAATACATATTCTGAAGTTATGAAGAGAATCAAGAAACGATGGCATATATGGACTGAAGACATCATTGTTGAAGGTTGGCGAGATTATTGACTAGAGAGAGCAGAGTCTGAAACCTTGTGAGCGGAACATGTATGGGAAACACTGGTGAGAGAATTCTGAGTGAACGTGAGTTGTAACTGAGGGGGAGTCTTAAGTTACAGACGAACCGCTTGGTAGGCCTAGACGTTGTCTAGGGTGACACGGGGTGTGCGCTGCACACACAGTGTTTGTAACTGATAGAATTTTTTGTGGTATGGGAGGTTTACAGGGGGAGTAAGACCGGGTGAGTCGAATGAAGTGTACTTGACACGTATCAAAGAAATAGAATCAGTTTGGGTTTTTTAGTTTTTGCAAAATCGTGTGATTATATCTTTTCATATTCCTCCAAACATATAATAAAATTAAAATATTAGAGTATACGATTGGTTTGGTTTGGCTATATAAAAAAAGATATGCTATTCGTATGACTCAAAAATAGAAAAGAAAAAATTTCTTCGAATGCATCACATTCAGTAGAAAATAATATTCGCTGATTTTTTTTAAACTAAAAATAATTAAAAATTTAAAAGGTGGCAAAATAGAACTACTTAATTGCTATTAAAACCACACCAAATTGTGTGTATACTTTAACTTGATCTTGTATAATCTCAGGTGCATATAAAAATAGTTTAATACGCATTTGAAACTTCCCTATTCATACAAATGTCTCTATTGAATGAATTAAAACATTTTCAATGTGGTATTCAATAATGCTTAAATCATGATCTATACATACATGTGATTAGGATATCTGAAATTAATAATTGTCATATGGAAGGGTGTCTATTGACGCATCTGGGGGCGATTCGAAAATATTTCCGACATAAATATTACTCAAACTTTATCCAGTCTACTATAATTATGTCTGAAAGATATATAATAAAGTTTTCGCCAGTTATAAGCTTGAAAAAACATTAGGGTTTGGAGATTATATATATATATACTCCTAAAGTGAAAACAAAAGAGTTGTCGGTATATAGATAGTGGAAATCGTGTGTGCAATATATATATATATAAGACTTTTAGATTCATCGAAGAGGACATGAAATTTGCTTTCGTTCGTCGTTTTATTGCTATGGGAACTAAAAATATATGGTACGACGATAAAATGTGTCGATGCTCAAATTATATGCCATTGTTGTAATAAAGTGAAGCATCCATTATAATATGACCCCGTCAATGCTACCATATAAGTGAACGTAAATGTACGTGCTTATATATATATATTATATATGTGTGTGTGTGTGTATGCACACAAAACAATTGTATATGTATGATTCTAATGCATGTTTCGAATCTTTGGTTGGTACGACTTGTCCCACTAGAGGCTCAGTACTCCAATTTGCAAATAATGTTATCCCCTTTTTCGTGTCTGGAATTTTATATTTACATGCAATGTTTCCACATTTTCTAATGAGACGTGAAAGGGTGACATAGAAATGCATTATATAAGGGTTATAGACGACAGCTCTAAATGGTTCCATCATCATCATCAAATTCGTATAATATCTCTGTCAGATATATAGTTTTCGATTGCAATCGATCGTATTTTATTGTTACAATTTTATCATATATATTTTTTGCATTCCGCATTATATATATAATATATATAGTAAAGCATTTATACAATCCTCAATGTGCGAACTTCCCAAACTAAATTTAATAAAAAGTATATGCATGAATATATCAACCACCGCCCTATAAGATAGGCTAATAATTACTTAACCAGAGTGTCATTATAAATATATATATGTCGACCGGTAAAGATATATTTTGACGGTAAAAAAAAAAACGAAATATAAATAAACGTCTAGTGCCTTTGCAACAGCAACAAATTGTAATCTAATGATTAACCTTATGTTCTATATACATGGTACCACCACACATTTTTTTTTGGATGCATTGGGAAGTTTGCCCCAGGTGCAGCCTTTGGGCTGGCTGATCCCCGGTCACAGCGGTGGCCTTACAGCGGCTCGCTAACACAGGGATCGCAGCGTGCATGCACCCTTCGGACGCGCAGAATCGAGTAAATTCAAACCCACAAACACCAGCCTACGACACACATGTAAAAGGTGAATCAGTCGTAATTGATAGGCGACAGGTGAGCGGGTGGAGTCGAACCCGAACCTTTCAGTATGGAAGACATGCTCCGTGCCAATTCACCTCGCGTTTCCCAAATACCACCACACATTATATAGCACATCTGACATTTTAGAAATCCACTATCTATATAGAGTAAATTACTCGAGATAATCCGTACCAAAGAAAGTCAGACATTGAGACCGTAACACGTCATCCATTTTAGCATATATCATATGCGTAATGTGTGTGCAGTTTGGTTGACCATTTATATTATATATATATATAGAAGTATGATCAACAATGTGGAGACCATATTTCAGAGGGACAGCTGTCCCACTTGGGCTTGTTAGTGCTAAAATGTTGAATAATATATATGTTTTAGTGATTAGAATTTAGAGAAAAAAAATAGATATTGTTTGGTTATGATATAGAAATCAACCGTGAAACACAAAATGTTTTAATATGGGTATATGATAAGTGTTATTTTCAAGATCGGTTTAGCTACATGAAATAAATGTAAAATTCGCACGTTATTTTCCTGGCTTTTCATTATTATATATATATATATATAATATATTATGGGACGTAAATATTTATGTGTGTGTGTATATATATATATTACATGTAATTAGGTAAGAAGAGTAAACTCCAAAAGTAATCATGAAGGCCGATAACGATTTACAATCAATGTAGTAAATCATATTAACAGATAAAAGAACTCGATTAACGATATAATTATTTATTAAGCAAGGTCTCCTCGCGATTAGAATATTAATTAAACGAAAGGTCAAAGCTATCAGCCTATCACACATTCAAAGTATTTGATTAATCGCCACATAAGACCTTCCCTTATGTGGTGTTAATAATCAATAATTAGTAAAGTGACGTAGACCATGATGATCGATGCCGCTGACGTGGCAGCTTGAGAGTATGCGGGGTCCACTCATGTCCCTAAAGTGCGCTATCGTGGTGCGGAATGAGGCGCGTGTCAATTTCATTGGTCGCATATGTCTCATCGCTCCACTTCTGAAGTTGTTTTTTTAAAGTTTATTAATTCTAACGGATATTTGACTATTGCACCGATTGATATTTTTAAATATATTGGTCGACTTTCAATTCCTATGAAATAGAGTTGGTCCAACGTTCTAATTATATTTTTTGTTTTATCAAATCATATTGTATAGGTTTGAAATTTCTTTAGCAAATTTAAGTTCAAATATTTGAATAGTCGATCAATCCAAAAAATCTCTAGCGAATGTTTTTTTTTTTTTGTAACAAAATATCTATCGAATGCTTATGTAACAAAAAGAAAGTAAATGGTTATATGTCGAATTAGTCGTAAATTTGGAAGAGATAATGCATGGTAAGTGACCAATGGTATGGTTGAAACATTGCACATATGACCACACAAAATTCAGGCCAAAAAAAAAAAGAATAACAAAGAAACATTGCATGGCATATTTCGACTTTTTCAACTATTAATTAAGTCGTGATTCGAGTACGTGCATGAATGTACTGAGTACAAAGCTGACGTAAGAACTTGTTCCACATATATATATATATATATAATGTTATTGTTTTTGAAATTATCATTACGCACTTTGATAGTTGGGATCTGCATAATTTGATGATAAATATGAGTTGGGTAAGAACGCATTGGGTGGGGGGGGCTATGAAACCGAAAAAAATCAAATCGTATAGTATCATCGTACAGTACTAATATTCTACGGACATATTAAATCATTAGAATTGGTTTTTAATTTTTGATATCTGTTTTAATAGACTTTTTAGCTGTCGAATTTAAGAACCCTAGAAAATTTGGCACCGACTTGACACAGCATGAGGTAATTGATTCCACTGAAATTTTAAGCCCTAAGTTAGATATATATCATTCACACATACACATACATATACATATACATGTATATATATTGGGTTTCTCAAATGACTAAAAGTCTTAGGTCAATTATGCATGAGAAGGGGATCTCCCCCATCTCTGTTGGTTTGAGAGCTCACTTCCTGAACAAGAGGTCGTGGGTTCAACACCCAGGATATGGAGATTTCCCCTCCGGTCACCTTCGGGTGGTTCACATCCCACACGTGTGGTGCCGGTTGTGCATGTAGGTCGGGATTAGTCTGGGCCCTTTAGGCCTGAGATTACCCGGTTATCAAAAAAAAAAATTATGCATGAGAAATATGTCTCCCTTTCCTCTAATTTCGGGGGATTTTAATTTTGTCTATTTTACATCTACAAGACAGAAATTTTCACGACAATGACATCACTGTCCTCTCTAAAGCTATTTGGTTTCTTCCACTGCAATGTCGACCTTTTCAGCTTTGTATGCGGCATTAATTATCTTGTGTTTTTCTCTTTTTTTTATATTGTTTTAATATATTCTACTATATATATATATATATATATATATATATATATATATATTTGTGTGTATATGCAGCACGACATTTTAAAACATCTGAGGGCTTATTGGTTTTAACAACTAGAAAACACCACGTTCAACATTTTTTTTGGTCAATCACATTCAAGATTTTTTTTAATAATCAGGATGGTTCTCCGAACCTTCAACCCGATTATATCCATCCTAGATGCGGGATTAATCTTTGTATATGGATTATTTTGGTCCAGAAATTACATATTTCCTCACAAGTGAAATCGAACTCAGGATCTTAACGATGACTTTGTCATTTTTTAACCATCAGGTGACATTCAAGATTATTGTTACCCATAACTTAAAATCTTTTTTGTTGGAGCCATTATTGACCCATTGCTCTTGCCTTACAATACACATCCATGTGAGTGATTATATAATTGGATCACATGCATGACAATTATATATATATATATATATATATATATATATATATATATCA